GTGTGTGGCCAGCTCAGCCCACCAGGGGGCGAGGCTGGCTGGCATGTGGTGCTGGGGGATTGAACCGCGGTCCCTGTGCTTTGTTAAGCTTGTTTCAAGTAGGTGCTTTAGACCACTGAGCCATCTCTCCAGCCCTCTTTTTCTTTTTGAAATAGGACTCGCTCAAGCTGACCTCAGACTTGTGGTCCTCCTGCCTCAGCCTCTTGAATGTTAGAATTATAGGCATCTGTCATGCTGCACTTCACAGGGTCTTTACACAGACTTTTATTTATTATTATTATGGTTTGTTTTTTTTTTACAGAGTTCTTTTTAAATCTGTTTTCCTTATCTCTGATTCCTTGGATAATGTTCAAGTACTGTTGTTAGTACTTGCTAGATGATAGAAGTCTGTATCTTTTTTTGTTTTGAAATATTTTACTGTTAGAAAAGACTTTGTGTCACCTAGTATTTGAAGATTTTGAGGTTATTTTCCTTGGACCCTGACTCAGCTCTGACTTCATTGATTATGCAAGGTAGGTCCTGTGGAGCTTCTCTCTGCGTCACTGACGCCTAGAGGTGGCATGTGTCCCAAGTATAGGTGGGTGTTGGGTTTCTCTGGCTGCTGTATGCTTAGCTTATCCACATAGATTCTCAAGTTTTGAGGACTGGATTTCTTCAGAGGCTCCCAAGCCACCTGCTATGTCAACAAACCTGTATGTTGGCTGTGGGACCACATGTCACATTGGGCACAGGTCTAGGCCCTTCTGGACGTGGCTGGTGTCCAAGTCAGGGAAGCCCCTGGCTGTGTTGCAGTTGTGCAGATTGGATTGATGACTGTGACTGTTGGTGCTATCTGCTGTGTGGTCAGCTGAGACATCAAGGGAAAGGAGAATAGCTTTTGGCAGCCTCTACCACATGAAGTCAGGAAAGTGATTATTTGGGTCACTGGTTTTATTTTATTTTTTTGTATTTTAAGGAAGGGTCTACAGAGTGTTCAGGGTCTTACTACTAGATTGGACTCATAGTGATTCTCCTGTTTACAGCCTCCCAAGTGCTGGGATTAGAGGCACATGCCACCATGCCTGGTCTCAGTTGCTGTCTCAGTGTACCCTGGGGGCGGGGCTGGCACAGCAGGCCCAGGGGTCAAACCCCTGGCCCCTGTGCCTGCTTGCAGGTGCTTTTTTTTTTTTTTTTTTTTAATTTTTGTGTGTGTGTGTGTGTGTGTGTGTGTGTGTGTGTGTGTGTGGGGCCAGCTCAGCCCACCAGGGGGCGGCCCTGGCTGGCATGTGGTGCTGGGGGATTGAACCGCGGTCCCTGTGCTTTGCTAAGCTTGTTCCAAGTAGGTGCTTTAGACCACTGAGCCATCTCGCCAGCCCATTGCAGGTGCTTTAATCTGCTGAGCTATTTGGCCGGCCCTTTGGGTCACTGTTTTTCAAGGAAAATAATCAGTTTTTATTCTAATAGGAATCCTGCCAGTGGACTCACATATCCTCTCTTGATGGTCCTTGTAGTTGGCCTCTTTGACAGGCAGTTCGTGTGTTTCTTGGTTTCTCAAAAGACAGAGCTGTTCTGTACAACTGTAGACTGTATATTGGGCCATATCTTTTACCTCATTGATTGGTTGATTGAAGTCTGGCTGTGTAGTTCAGACTGGCTTGAACTCACTGTGTAGCCCAGGCTGGCCTTGAACTTGCATCCCTATGCCTCAGCCTCCTAAATTCTGAGATTACTGATGTGTGCCATCATGCTTGGCT